AAAGCGCAAATGAACCGGCGGCAGGAGGAAGAAAAGACAGGCGGTAGCGGCCGCGGGGCGGGAGGAGGGGAGGGAAGGGGAAGGCGCTCACATGGCCGGCGTCGCCACGGAGCGGCTGGGGCGGCCAGTCAGTTCTGCACCCCGGGCGACACAAAATTTCAGCCAGCGTTGACTCCAAACAGATAGGAGGACGGGAGGAGGACGTGGGCAGGATGGGAGGAGGACGAAAAGAGGACGGGAGCAGGACGGGAGGAGGACGGTCAGGTCAAAAGCCGTGGCATAACGGCACATCGGCAACACTGCAGACAGTTCATATTGCAAGATCAGAATACTCACAGACAATGGTTTCCCATTCTTTGAGAATGCCACTGCTCATGTCCAAGGCGGTGGTCAAACGGTTTTCGTCTCCACCCGCCGCCCTGAGCGCGTGTAGGCTGGCTTTGCACCCCCAAGATACTCTTGGGCGATCACGTTTTCGCACGCCAGCCGTCTTGGCCAACTGCGTAGACGAGGGTCGGACAACAGCTTTGCGCACAATACTGGTGTCTGGCATCAAGACTACTTTTCCGAACAGGAGGAACTGCTTAGCGATCAATTGGTCTGCCAACGGGCGCGCCGAAGCAGTGTCCAGAACTCTCTTGTTGGACACCCTCGAATTCATAGGGTGCGGTGGTATCCCCCAGGCTTTCCTTGAACAAGAAACATGAAAAGAGTTAATTCGAGAATATCCAGCCTTGTTCAATCGCTGTGTCTCTAGACTGTGCAACAACTTAGAAACGACACATGCTTCATACACCCGCTGCTTCCTGCCTCTACTCAGTGACGAGTGGCTCCTAACTGCACTCAGTAATGTAAATGTGCCTCGCGCCTCTCCCAATTTCCGGGACACCGCGCACCTTGCGGAGCCAGTGGTTGTCAGAAGGCCGCCGAGGTACACGCGCTGTTCCGTGCTGGGAAGGGGCCGCCCGCTCGGATCATGGATCGGCGCCGGGCTGCCGATGCGGAGGGCGACAGTCTTGTCCCAGTTCGGAAGCAAACCGTACGGCGCGGCCGGGGCCAGCAAACTGTCCAGGGCAGACAGGCCGATTCGACGTCGTCAGTTTTGAAGCCGTCCTTCTACCAATGAACGTCTGCAAACATGACGATCATAACAATGGTAAATTAATATGGGGACAGCGGGCACCCCTGTGCAATGCCGGCTGCCTGCGAGTGCACGGTGGACTCTCTCCTGGCACCTCTAACAGTGATAGATCATGTGTACACGGCTGTAACCATATCGATGTAAGGTTCTGGAGGGCCAAATCTACGTAGAGCCACTCACATCGTTCCGGGGTCGATGCGGTCGAACGCCTTTGACCAATCCAACAGCAGCACGGACATCTCGCCAGCCTTGAGGTCTTGCGCTGCGTCCATCATACGCTGAACCGTGAGGATAGCCAGGTCTGCGCCCCTGCCAGGGCGAAGGCCAAATTGATTGTCTCGGAGGCGGTGCTCAACCCCTCCTCTTCGGAGCCGCTCCAAACTCGTGGCTGCGAGCACTTTGTAGCCGACCGCCAATAGGGATATGGGACGATAGTTCGATGGCAGCGCCGGATTGCCTTTTTGAGAATTGGCGAGACTGAGAAAGACGCCCAAGATTGAGGAATCGCCCTGGATTTCCAACATGAGTTACGCAACCTGAGTACAATCCGAGAGAATCCGCATTGCGGCCAAGGGTCGCCCAGAAATCAGGCGGCACATTTTCTGGGCGGCAATACCCTCTTCAGCTCCACCTTTGAAAACCCTACGACTGGAATATCCAACACAGGGCCCGAATTCGGCTCGACGGGCACTCCATCCCCAGCGCCGGGGGTGGCCTTCCATTGAACATCTTGGACATACCTGGCCATTGTCTCCGCCCTTTCGTTGGAGTCGACTAGGCTGCCATCCTGATTGTACAATCGCCCTTGCTGGTTCCCTTCCTCAGACGTTTTTATTGGCAGACCATCCATGTTCAACCAAATCCTTCTCTAACCACACGGCCCTGTCAAGTTTGGTAGGATTTGATCTGCTTGTTCAAAGCAACCTCCAACATGTACTGGCCTTCGATAAGGGCATTATTCCGGAGTTCGATTAGGTCGAGGGTGGCTGCTCGGATCCACGGTCGTTTCGCGATCACGGATCGGATTGGGAGTGCTTTCTTTGCAGCGGTCTCCATGGCAGATCTCACAGTCTCCGCCATCGCGTCAACGTGTTCATCATCACGTGCTTGCAGGAGGTCCCCGGCGGCTTCCGAGAAAAAAAGGCAAAAGTAATCAGCAGTTGAAGTTTATTTCAAACACTTGACGTCCTGCTTCTGCACCCGTTTCTGGGGCGGCTGCTTGTCCATGTGCACGGTGATGTTAAGAAGAGCTATGACGTGATGAGTGTGTAGTGTGATGTCTCTCCTGCTCCGTACTCGGCGTACTGCTCCCTGCCAGCGCCGTTCCATCAAGACGTGGTCGATTTCGGCGAACTTGCTCGCCATGATCTCGTCGAACGGGCTCGCGGCGAGGTCGTAGTAGGTGACCTGTTCGTGCAATGGGCGCCTGAGAAACGTGTTGGCAACGACCATTCGCAAAGACCTGCAAGTTTCGATCAAAAGCTCTCGATTGCTCGTTGCATCGGGCATTACTGCTGGATTCCCGAAAACAAGTTGCCCGAGCACGTCATGCTCTCCAGCGCTCCTCTTGTGAATTCCACTGTTAAGATCACCTAAGATCATGACTGGTCCATGTGCTTTCGCCTTTTGGATAGCCCCCTCAAGTTCAAGAAAGAAATGCTGCCATTCTTCCAGTGGTCGACCGTTGTGGGGCGCGTGAGCGGTAATGATGCTCATCTGGCCCCCCTCGATTCTGACTTTTCTGGCTGCAATGCGTGAACCTTGCTACGAAAATCCCAAGATTGAATGCCGGACGCGTGGGGATACCAGGAATCCCACTCCAGCGTGTTCTCGTGTGTTCTCCCTGCCACCCGACAGGGCCCGGGAGGAGGACGGGAGGAGCAAAACCAAGCAAGCGCAAGCAAGCAAGCGGAAGCAAGCAAGCGCATAGGCATAGGCATAGGCATAGGCGTAGGCATAGGAGTTAGGGGGAGGCATGGGCATAGGCATAGACATAGGAATTAGGGGCGGCGGGCATAGGAACTAGGGGGTGGCAGCGGACCAATTAGCAGGGTTTGAGTTAGAACTCCGATCGGGCAAGCCTATTTGGAAAACTCTGCATACATGCAACTCCTCGGAGGTCGGCGCGGATTTCTCGGATCGGCGCTGGGCCCCCCAGGACATCCGCGCGGAGCTCAGAGAAATTTGGTTCGCGCTGTTTCGTGTTCCTTGGGATCTGCACGCGGCGTCAGAGGCCAGCGCCCAAGTCGGCGCGGCTCAGGGGCAGGGTCAGGGAGGGGTAGGGGCTTAAGGGGGGGCGCATTGACCCCTAACCGCCCACTGATCGCCATTAGGGTTAGAAAGTCCAGGGTTCGTTAGGGATTGGTTTCCTTGCAAAAAACATCCGAAAACCTTTCGAAACCCTCCGAAAACCCTTTGGGAAGGTTTATGGGAGGGTTCCCGGAGGGTTTCGGGAGGGCTTGGAAGGGTTTTCGTGTTTTTTGGGGGAGAAACCAGGCCCTAGCAAACCCAGCATCGTTCAAGGTTTGATGATCCCCGCGGTGTCCGAAACCAACGCCGATGCCCGCACGACACGAAACTGCCGCGCCGCACAGTGGGAACGAGGTATAAGATCGGGGTCGGTTCGGGGAGGGTACCTTATTGTCCTTCGTGCTTGTTGGATGTTTTGTGTGCATCCTGGGGAGGATACTCTTGGCTGTTCTGTGTGTGTACGTGTGTGTATGTGGCCAGCGGAGGGTTTCATGTTTTTGAAGATGTACTTCTCGCCAAAGTCCGACTGTATCACCCAGCACCCAGCACGGTTGAAGTGAGCACAGTCCTAATGATGGAACAAGCACTCGACGAACGATGATCAGCTGCCGCTGACCACGTTTCGTCGTGTCGCGAGGTTGGAGGGTTTCGGGTGTTTCGTCGGGTGTCGGCGGCTTTCGAGCCCTGGGATGCTTTCCAGCAGCCGCACCTCACCGAGAGCGTTCAGCCGCCAGAGAAAGGGTGTGACCCGAGCACCTCGGGGGTCGACCGACCCTGAGATCCTGGCGTTGCATTTCTTCACAACTAGTGTCTCCTGGTCTGGCCCCGAGGCCATCACAGATTAACTCGGGGCGAAACATGGTGCCCAAAGACGGGGTCCAGGGTTTCGGTGGTGATTTTCTACTTGTCTGCATTTTTTCCATTCTCAGATCTGAGGGTTGGCCGGCGACAGTTACATCAGTTCTTCCCGCAGAAGGGCTCAATTTGATGGGAGCCTTGATTCCAGAAAGAAAAACTGCATGAACATAGACTTTCGTAGCTGGGCGCGAAATTGTTGGATCGGCCCCCTGTCGGCGCCTCTGGCGCCGCCCTGGCGCGCTCTGCGCACCATGCGGGGTTCAGCGCAGATCCAAGAAATTCGCGCGGAGCTCCGAAAGTTTATGGTCATGCCGTTTTCGTTGCTTCTTTATCGAACGGCGACAATGAAATCAGTTGTTCTTTCATCTGGGCCGCGTCGGGACCGCATTTGGCCATGCCCGCTCATCCTCCCCCTCTTCTCGATCTTCTCGTCTCCTTCCAATCCGGTCTTCAATGGGGCGTTCCAAAAAGGGCCTCGCCTTCGAGGATCCGAGGAGCTGTCGTGTCTTCCTCGGCGGAAGGCGGCGGAAGGCCGGCGGAGGCAAGGCGAGGCCGCTTCCGCCGCCAGAGCCCGGCGGAAGCTCGGCGGAGGGCGGCGGAAGGAAACGACGGGCCCCCAGGAGATGAAAACGTTGTTGGCGTCAGGGTCTCCGAGCTCGCCCACAGCAGGCCCAACTCCGGCCCAGCTTAGACCCACGGCGGACAGCGACGGGGGCCACGCCGGCTCCCATGGGCCGGGCACCCAGCGCAGGGGCGGCCGCCGCTGTGCCCCGCGGACCAGCGCGCGGCGGCGCGCGGCGCGCTGAGGAGGTCGTGGCGGGGTCCACTTCGAGGCGATCGATGCGATTCGAGAGGTGCGCTGGTCAAAAATTTCTGGTGAGTCTGTGTTCCACCACCACCACCGCAAGCTAGAGTGGGGGAGGAGGTGGAGGACGAGGAGGAGGAGGGAGGAGAGGAGGGTGACCCAGTCCCCCTCCTGCTGATGGTGGTGGCGGTGGGAATCAAGGGCACCAATTTCGGCCGATGGAAAAGTCAGACTGGAGACGTTGCGGTCTGCGATTCCTGTGAGCGTGCAGGTGTCGGTTAGAGCCGGGGCCCCGAGGCCCCAGACACTCGCGTTCCCCGCTCTCGCCGGCGTCGAGAGCACAGGGGCCCGCGCGCACATCGATTCCAGCCGGCCCGAGCCGATTCGCTTCCGAGATTCCGACGATCCGATGCGGCCCGATGTTTACGTGGCGTCGTTGTGCCTCCTGGCGCAGCCGATTCGATTCGAATTCGAGTCCGTCCGTGGCGATGCGGGCCGATGCGACGTACAGTCGGGCCGCTGAAGAAGGAAGCCTTTCCGTTGGGGAGGGGCTCAGTGTTCTCTCATTGTGTTACAGCCTGTCTTAGGTGCTCCTCCCGTTCTCGATGGGAAAGCAAAGCTTCACATGGAAAAAAGGGGGCCTCGTTCCTGTATTCAGGGTCTCTTGTGACCGCGTTTCGGCTGCACCTTCCGACCCGATCGGGTTTGTCCATTCGCTGCTGCTTGCTCCTGGCCCGGGCCGTGCAGCGAGGCATGCGTGCTTTCTGCTACTTTCGGCCTCTACGGTCCCTCGTGCCAGGCCCCAGGGAGGCCCTCGCCGAGGCCTCCATGGGGTCCACCTTTCGGGACGCAGTGATGGCGCCAGGGGCTCAGGGAACGCAGGCGGCTTTGTTCCCCCAGCCCCCGGCCGGATCGACGAAGAGCGGCGCCGTTCCGAAAAAGGAGGGGAGCCCTGGGATTCGCCCCAAGGGGGCCCTTCGGACGCGCCCCTCTTGTCGAGGAGGGGCGCCCCCCCCTCCCCCCATCGTGGCTCCCAGGGTTCGGCCCCAGAGGGCGCGCCCATTCGAGGACCCCCGGCGGAGCCCGGGATCGGGGTCGACGGATCCCCCCCCGGTGCTGGGAGCCTGGGTCGCCTGCGGGGGCGCCAGGGTCCTCGGGCTCTGCGCGCTTCGCGGTCATGGGCGGGAGCGGCCGCCTTCCCCCCTGTGGGTGGGGCGGCGCGAGGGCGCGCACAGGCCGCCTCGCGGCGCGCGCCTCGCGGGGCCAGGGGGGCGGGAGGATATTGGCATCGCTCGGACGTGTGCATTTTTCTTTCGGCGAGGACCATCGAGAAGCATCCTTGATCATTTGGCGAAGAAACCACGCACGAAACCGAAATTAGCCTGGCGAAGAACCCAACCATATGCAGTTGTCAGTACCGCAGCTGCGGGTTTCATCTTCAATGGAACTCCCCATAGGACTACGGAGCGTGTGAGGGGTGTGCCGAGATGGGTGCCACTGGGGCATTCGGCGAAGCCCCCTATGGGGACATGAAACACGCGCGGGGCGTGCCGACATGGGTGGCGGAAACGCATGTGCGGGCCGCCACTGGGGCCTCCAGTGGAGCTCCCTATGGGTCCCCGAAACATGATGCTGCTGCGGGGGGGGGGGGCCGGGATGGGTGGCGGAGACGCATGTAAGCGCCGCTACTGGGGCCTTCGGTGGAGCTCCCTATGGGGCCACGAAGCGCGTGAGGGGTGTACTGGGATGTGTGGCGGGGACGCATGTGAGCGCCGCCACTGGGGCCTTCGGTGCAGCTCTCTATGGGGCCACGAAACGTGTGAGGGGTGTGCCGAATTGGGTGCGGGTGGTGACGCATGCGGGCGGTGCCACTGGGGCCTTCGGTGGAGCTCCCTATGGGGCCACGAAACCTGTTGTTGTGAGGGGCGTGCCGGGATGGGTGGCGGGGACGCATGTGAGCGCGGCCGCTGGGGCCTTCGGTGGAGCTCCCTATGGGGCCACGAAACGTGTGAGGGGTGTGCCGAATTGGGTGGGTGTGGGTGACGCATGTGAGCGCCGCCACTGGGGCCTCCGGTGGATGATGGGGCCACGAAACCTGTCAGGGATGTGCCGAAATGGGTGTGCGGGACGCATGCGCATGTGAGCGCCGCCACTGGGGCCTTCGGTGGAGCTCCCTATGGGGCCACGAAACGTGTGAGGGGTGTGCCGAATTGGGTGTGCGGGACGCATGCGGGCGGCAGCACTGGGGCCTTCGGTGGGGCTCCCTATGGGGCCACGAAGCGTGTGAGGGGTGTGCCGAATGGGTGTGACGCATGGGGCAGCACTGGGGCCTTCGAGCTCCCTATGGGGCCACGAAACGTGTGAGGGGTGTGCCGAATTGGGCGTGCGGGACGCATGCGGGCGGCAGCACTGGGGCCTTCGGTGGGGCTCCCTATGGGGCCACGAAACGTGTGAGGGGTGTGCCGAATTGGGTGTGCGGGACGCATGCGGGCGGCAGCACTGGGGCCTTCGGTGGAGCTCCCTATGGGGCCACGAAACGTGTGAGGGGTGTGCCGAATTGGGTGTGCGGGACGCATGCGGGCGGCGCCATGGGGCCTTCGGTGGAGCTCCCTATGGGGCCACGAAACGTGTGAGGGGTGTGCCGAATGGGTGCGGGACGCATGCGGGCGGCAGCACTGGGGCCTTCGGTGGGGCTCCCCACGAAACGTGTGAGGGGTGTGCCGAACTGGGTGTGGGGACGCATGCGGGCGGCAACTGGGGCCTTCGTGGGGGGGCCACGAAACGTGTGAGGGGTGTGCCGAATTGGGTGTGCGGGACGCATGCGGGCGGCAGCATGGGGCCTTCGGTGGGGCTCCCTATGGGGCCACGAAACGTGTGAGGGGTGTGCCGAATTGGGTGTGCGGGACGCATGCGGGCGGCAGCCATGGGGCCTTCGGTGGGGCTCCCTATGGGGCCACGAAGCGTGTGAGGGGTGTGCCGAATGTGGTGTGCGTGACGCATGCGGGCGGCAGCACTGGGGCCTTCGATGGGGCTCCCTATGGGACCACGAAACGTGTGAGGAGTGTGCCGAATTAGGTGTGCGGGACGCATGCGGGCGGCAGCACTGGGCCTTCGGTGGGGCTCCCTATGGGGCCACGAAACGTGTGAGGGGTGTGCCGAATTGGGTGTGCGGGACGCATGCGGGCGGCAGCACTGGGGCCTTCTGTGGGGCTCCCTCTGAGGCCGCGAAACGTGTGAGGGATGTGCCGAATTGGGTGTGCGGGACGCATGCGGGCGGCAGCACTGGGGCCTTCGGCGGAGCTCCTTATGAGGCCACGAAACGGTGTACTGGGTGGTTGAAAAGGAGAGGAGGAGAGGAGGAGAGGAGAGGAGGAGAGGAGAGGAGGACGCGGGGACCGTCTCTTCAAAACGAGGACCCAACACCACAGGATGGTTGGGAAAAAACACACGGAATGGACGTCCGAGCGATGGCGAGGGATGGGAGGCCTTGCAGACGAGCGGCGTCCCGGTGCTCGAGGGGCCCCAGGGCGCGCCACGGGGCCCAGGAATCGGGGGCGGCAAGGAGGGGGGTGATGACCAGGGGAGAGGGTGGATATCATGGCGGCGGCCATGATATGTCCCCAGATGGCACGGCGCCTGTTCTCATTCCATTACGTCCCTGGCCCCCCCGCTGGGCCGCGCACATGCCGCCGGTCATCATTTGCACCCCCCCCCTCTTGGACACCCCCCCTCTTGGACGCTCCCGAACGGGGCCCAGCAATGGTTTCTTGAGGCGCGTGCCCACAGGTCCTGGAGGGAGCCTCGGGGCTTCGATGGGAGGCCGCGTCATGGGGGGGGGGGGGGCGATACAGTCGACCCGTATCGTCAGGATGCACGAGCGACCTTACCCAAGAGGGCTCCCTCGAGGGCGCGAAGTGATTCGCGGCCTCGCGCTTCGCGGTCCTCGCTCCTTCTCCCCCTCCTCCTCGTCCTCCCCTTCTCCCTCTGGGGGAGGGCGGCCCCCTCTCGAGCGCGCGAAGGTTTAATTCGCGCGCTATTCGCGCCGCGCGCGAGGGCGCGAAGGTTGGGAGCCCCCGTGTTTTTACTCACCGTGCTGCTTCTTCGGGGGGGGGGGGGGGGGGGGGGCCCAGGGTCCGCCACACGGGCCCCCCGCAGGGGGGGCCCTGCGTGGCGGGGGCCAGCTGCCTGCGCCTCGGGGGGGGGGGGCGGGGCGGCGAAAGGGGGGGGGGCCGCGTGCGGGCGCGGCGGCCGCAGGAAGCCACCCCGAGAGAGAGCCCCCGAGAGCCCCGAGGGCCCGCGCCCGAAGAGAGCCCCCGAGAGCCCCGAGGGCCCGCGCCCGAAGAGGCCCCCGAGAGCCCCGAGGGCCCGCGCCCGAAAGGCCCCCGAGAGCCCCGAGAGCCCGCGCCCGAAAGGCCCCCGAGAGCCCCGAGAGCCCGCGCCCGAAAGGATGCCCCCCTGTTTCTATGGGCGCCCCCGCGCTTCGCGCGACGTCATTCGCGCTTCGCGCTTCGCGGTCCCGCTCCGATGCCTCCGGCATACCCCCTCTTCTCCCTTTGGGGGGGCGGCGCGAGAGCGCGGAGTGATTCGCGCTCTCGCGCTCTCGCGCAGCGCGAGGCGCGAGGCTGGGAGCCCTTGTTTTTCACGCGAGGGAAGAAACACGGGGACCGTGACCGATGTGTCGGGGGATGTTGTCAATGCGATCTTGGTCATCACCACCCACCAAACCACCCCAACCCAACCCGAAGGCTCAGATTTACCCTCGATTTCCAGTGGGGGGGGTCGGGAAACATCGAAAAAACACGTGTGGAACCCTTACCCCCCCAAACCCGAAATTCAGGTCTTCGGGTTGGGTTGGGGTGGTCTGGTAGGTAGTCAGGTCATGGTCCATGTCGGCCGTAGCCGGTTCGCGAGGATGATCCACGAGATCACGCTGGCCAAGGTGGTCGGTGACCAGGATCGGCACGGCGTTTCCGCGTTCAGTCTTGGTCATGGTCTCCGCTTTCCTCCTCTCCATTCACTGCCGCGAACAGCCATCGCGCAGTGCGCGGAGCGCGGAAACCCGAGGTGTCCTTACGAAAAGCAGACAAGCGGCGCAAGAGAGCGGTGTCGTCTTCACCGACATTCGCGCGCAAGTGTCCCGCATAAGGTCGCGAGTAAGCGCCCTCTTTTCCAAAGTGGCGTACCTCGCTGGCGGCCCGCGTCAGCCACCGCTCAAGGTCGCTATATTACATCGCGTACGACACGCTTCTTTTCGTCACCCATATGTTTTCTTGATGCGCGATGGAGATTCGGCCAAGGGCTGGCAGAATAATCGCTGGCCAGGGAACATGTACTGCTCGCGGTGTTTAATTTGGCGGTGGCATCGCAAACAACCGACCCACATAACAAACTGAGCGGAATGTAGGAAAGCAGGAGTTTGGTTTCTTGATGCGCGTCCCCACTGAAGTCCTGGGGGGAGCCTCGGGGTTTATATTGGAGGCCGCGTAATGGGGGGGACGATGCAGCTATCCCGCATCATAAGGACGCACGATCAGGATGCAATGGCCGTGGAAGGCCATTTCGATCCTTTTCGAGCGGGGCGCGACCAGCGAAAGCGGCCAAGGAAGGACCGAGGAGGCAATGATGCAAGGGTATCATTCGGAACACGTCCTATTCTTATTATGGGGGGGCAGCGAGGGCTGCCGAAAAGAGGCCCTGAAGGGCCCCTTTAGGGCTCCTCAAGGGGCCCTTCAGGGCCCAAGAGGGGGCCTGTAGGGTCCCAGAAGGGCACCTTTCTCCCCCCCCCCCCCTCTAGCGCCCGAAACGGGCACCTCTCTTCCCCCCCCAGCGCGTCGCCCCCCAATAGTGCGCGCACGCTGATTTACAGGACCCACTTCCTCCCTGGACCCTCCTCCTTCGTGCCCACCAGGTCCTGCCCGTGAGCCGGGGAGCTCGGGGGCCGGCAGCCGCCGCCCCCACCTCTGGGCCAGGGCTCTCCGCGCGTCGCGCCGTGCCGCCGGGGGCGGCCGGACGCGCAGCGCGGGAGCCAGCGCTTCGGGACCGTTCGGCGACGACATCACCTTGATCTGCCGCTCGGGATACGATAAAGCCAGAGATCCAGGTCTCGTTTCGATTCCTCCGGCTCGATTCGGGTCGACGTCGGTGGCTTCCGATTCCGATTCGATTCGGCTTGGGATTCCGATGTTGGTTCAGATCTTTTCACTGGAGGCATACGAGCCAGCCGATGTCCGCCGACTCCACTTGTCCCGATTTGGCTGCCGATTTCCACCGATCCGATTCATGTTGATCGTCGATCTGACCTGCCTCACAGGTTTATGTTTCAAGTATGTTGGACAATTTGTCCGAACTAAATTCAAACACATGACGCAACGAATTTTGCAATTCATGTATTTATATATAACGGCCCAGCATCGTTTGTATAGAGTTGAGCACTCATAGAATATGCAGCTTGGGTTTAATGCCGAAGGAAAAGAGGGAACATCAATGAGGGGACCCCCCCCCCCAAAAAAAAGCGGCGAAGAAGGGAAGGAAGAAGGAGGAGTATATGCACATATGCACACAAACGTATATACACATATACACATACGGAAGAGGAGGAAAAGGAGGGAACAAGAGAGAGAGGCGGATCAGGGTTTTGCTGGAGGTCCGACGCTCCCAGAAGATCGGAGCGCCGGGTCTTGGGCCGCTTTCGGCCTCCGGGGGCCCTCGCTGGGCCTCGGGAGCGTCAAAAAGATTCAGGACGAACAACAGGCCCTGGAGAAGTGGTCCAGTCCTCGGGGGCCCACGCATCGAACAAACTTGGAGTGTCCAGATGTCTGGGTGGGTACTACAAGATGAGTGTGGCCAATCTTTTCGGGTCGGGCGCGCGCCTTTGAGGAGGACACATGTCCTTGTGCGTACCACGACATGGCTGTGTTTGTCTGCTGTCGTTGTGCAGTTTTGTTCCCCGTTCCGGCTCCTTTGTTCTCGGTCTTGTCGTTGTTTTTTTATGGCTCCCGTTCCAGTGCCCGAGCGTTGTTTGTTATTTCGTATCGTTGTGCCGTTTTTGCTACCCGTTTCGTTATCAAGATCAAGATTTCTTCACGCGGGACTAGGATGAGGATGAATCCGTTCCAGTGCGTTCCGGAACGCTCTGGGAAGGTCTCGGCGCCCGAGACATCCTCCAGAACCGCCGAAGCTCAGAGATTATCGATGTACCCTCACCGATGTTATTTTCGCCTTGGCTTCGTGTTACATCTGGGGACGCGTAAACAATGCAACGGCCGTGTCGTTTCCAACAAATTGCTAAGAGTAGGTGGCAGCGCCCTAGAAAACTCAAAGGCCGTTGCAAGCCAGGGCCTGGTGAGGCTTTCGGGCCGAGCACAGACAGCCCCCCCAGGGAGTCTCGGCTGGCCTCAGCAGGCCCCTCGAGTAGTCCCAGCTGGCCTCGACGGTCTACCCGTGTATTTCTCTAGGCGTCCTAGATGGGGTCCGAGCAGATGGGGTCGGCGGATCGCTCCGCACCGCCGATGCATTGCCGATACGGCTCGATGTGGAGCCCGTTTTTTTCCGCGCTGGCGTCGTCGCTGCACCGCCGACGTCGCCGATGCATCGTCGATGCATCGGTGGTTCATCGGCGATGTGGCGCGATCCTCCGACCCCATCTACTCGGTCCCCATCTGGGAGGCCTCTAAGTTCGGGGCGGTCCACACCCCACCCACCACACCACCCCAACCCAATTCGAAAGCCCCAAGCTGTCGTCCATTCCCAGTGCGGGGGATGCGTCGGGGAACGCTGCAAAAGCACGTGTGGAACCCCGAGCCCTCCCATGCCGAGATTTTTGGTCTTCGGGTTAGGGTGGGGTGGTCTGTCAGGCAGTCATCCACGCCCCGGGTGTGGATGACTGCCTGACAGAGTCATGGGCGCGGGAGGCGCCCCGGGCGCGGGAGCCACGGGCGCGGGAGGCGCCCCGGGTGTGGCGCCGGAGGCCGGGCAGCCAGGACTTGGTGGGCCGAAGTTTTGCCAAGCCAGCGCCATTGAAGAATCAGGGCGTTGCAGACTGGAGGCCGTGATCGTTTTTGTTGATTCATTGTTTTGCCGATCGGGGCGGGCCCCCCCTCCCCCCCCCTCCCCCCCCATGGAGTGGATCTTGGCTGCTTTTGGCGCCACTTCAAGCAGGCGGAGTCCCTCCCCCCTAGGACGCACTGCTGCAAACAGTTGAACTGAGCAGAGGTTCAGAGCCAGACCCACCTTCCCCCCCCTTCCGCACAATGTCGAAACGCCGAATACTAAAACGTTCCCGCTGAATTTCTGCAAGTTCTCAAGATGAGCGTGCGCGACGCGACGGCGAGAGGCCCCCCTCTTTAAAACAGAAAACAGCAGCCCTCCATCTCGGACGGGGACGGGCGAGGATGAATCCTTCCCAGAGCGTTCGGAAACGCACTCAGAGCGTCCCGGAACGCTCTGAGAAGGCCGCGGCGCCCGAGACATTTTCCAGAATCGCCGGATTCTAGAGATTCTCAATTTACTCTCACCCGATTCAAAATTTGGCCTGATTCCGTCTTACGTGGATTGGTTTCGAGCCCAAGGGTTGTGGGGGGGTACAGCATATTCATATCCCATATCCAGAGTTACCCGCCGCCTGCAGGCCTTGGGACGTGGGGTCCCCATGTTGGAAACGTGCAGCACTTTCGGCCTCAGAGCGGGGGGTGGGATCCACGACACACCTGACGCGACTGGGCCATTGGCATAGTCTCTCCTGGGGGATCATCTACTCAGGAGGCGGTCCGTTGGAGGATGGGGAGCTCTCTTAGTAATCGCTAGCCAGCCATGCACCGAATTCACGCGCCCCATTGGCGCGCTGCTCGGACGCGCGGGCGCTTGCACAGATGCGGCCGCGCTCCGCACGCACATTTTCTGTTGGCACTGCACGTGCCGTCCTCCTCCCCGTATCTCAGAAGCCCGGCGAAGGCTGGCGAACCCGTGGCTGCTAAAACGGAGCTTCGGGAAGTTGTGTTCTCCAGAAGCAGCCCGTTTATGAGTCAGTGCGCCGAGTTCTATCCCGGGATATTTTTGTTTGTCTTGGCAGACCGTTTTAGCAGCCACGGATTTGCCAGCCCTCGCCCAGCTTCCGAGTATCGCTCGTCCGGTCGCTCTTCCCCTCCGCCCCCCCCCGCTGCGTACGGGGGCAGAGCAGGAGGTCGCGGGCGGAAACGCACATCCGTGTCCAGGGCCTCGCGGGCCAGCCCGCGGGGCCGCGACCCCGGCACGGTGGGCTCGTGTCGTGTCGACCGGCGGCGACCACGCCAGCGGCGTTTAATGTGGAACGCCGCGGGCAACCCAGAATCGTTCGATGTGGAACGAGGCGGACGTTTCGGAAGCGGCCGATCGTTCAAGGTTTGAGCGATCCCCGCGGTGTCAGAGACCAAGGCCGACGTCGGCACGACACGAACCAGACGTGCACGTACGGTTTTTTTTTTTTTCCGCGGATGCCCCGCGCGGAATTCACCCATGCGACCACGCTCATCCATGGGGGTCGCGCCCCGGCATCCAGGCCCCGAGGGCGTGGGCGTGTGCGCGGTCGCCGATTCTGTGAGCAGGGGTCCCAGCCGTCCGCAGATTGCGTCTCTCTTCCCAGGCGCGGCCCCAGAGGTCCAGACCCTTCCCCTGGGGCGAGTCTTCCTCCTCCTCCTCCTCCTCCTCCTCCTCCTGCTCCTCCTCTTCCTCCCTCCTCCTCCTCCTCCTCCTCCTCCTCCTCCTCCTCCTCCTCCTCCTCCTCCTCCACGCCCCGCATTTGTTTTTGATGGCCCCGGGCCCCAAAGCGGGTCCCCGGGGTTCGGTTGCCCTCATCGTACCTGAGGACCACGTCCCAGAGAAGTAGTAGTTCCGAGCACCCCGGGAAGTATCGAAACAGTGCCGAACGAGCGCCGCTTCCCAGAGCCCGACGCGTGACAACCCTCCAGTTTCGGGACGCCCCTTGGTGCTCGAACATCCTTTTGGTGATCAAGGCTAGAGCAGGTTGGAGCATCCTAACCCCGGGGCCGAGACCTGTGAAGCACGCCCAGGCCGACCAGAGCCGAGCGTCGGAGATCTGGGAGAGAGGGGGCCCCGGGGCGCGCGCAGCCCGTGACCACCGGAGCCGCGCTCCTCGGGGGGGGGGGGGGGGGAGGGGGAAGGGGGGGAGATGAGGAGGGAGGATGGAGGAGGGAGGAACGAGGAACGAGGAGGAAGGAGGGAGGAGGGAGGAGGGAGGAAGGAGGCGCGGCGGACGACGGCAGTGTCGTTCAGACGTGCCTAAGTCTGAAGAAGCTCTGTTGTGAGGAGCCCGGGACCTGTACAAAAGTGAGGATATAGGTCAATCCGCAGAGTCCAATCTGAAAGAAAGTTGGCCAGATCAGGGTGCCAACCGTCTGTGTCGGCGTGCTTTGGCTTCAGCTTTATTGGCCGCGAGGAGCAACGAAGAGGGAGGAGGGAGGAATGAGGGAGGAATGAGAAGGGAGGAGGGAGGAGGGAGGATGGAGGATGGAGGAGGAGGAGGAGGAGGAGGAGGAGGAGGAGGAGGAGGAGGAGGTTGACGCATGTAATGGAACGGGCCTGTCTCGAGGCGAGGCGACACCGAACCGCCGACAGAACTTCTGTTCAGTCATCATTCGGCTGCAAGGTTTAGTACACTGGCCATGATCCATGTGATTCTGTCGAGTCGAACTTTCCGCGCTTGTGTGAGTGAGGCCAAGCACGGCTCGACCAACCTAGATTTGAATTTGAGTTGCACACTCTTACTCAATCTACACGAGCGGAGGAGGAAGAATGAAATGGAGTGGACCTGTCGCGACGCGGAGTGGCATGACCCAATTGCCGACCGAATAGTTGTCCAGCCATAAGTACACTTAGGCCTTAAGCCATATGAGCTCTTATCCCCATATTGTCCACAATAGCGGAGGAG